AAAAATCAATGGTACCTTCCCGCCCCCACCTTCATCTATAGAAAAAATCTCAGTGCTCATCAATAGACCAAAAATGGCTTGATGCAATTCTACTCGAAGGCTCGCCTAATTTCAGGAAAACTATCATCCATTGGCCAGGCTAAAATAATTTCAGGAAAACTATCATCCATTGGCCAGGCTAAAATGACTCTTCTATAGACATCATGGGAGGAGGGAGGAAAAAAAAATTTAATAACATCCATGCCATTGCATCAATCTATATTATTGGTAACTTAATGTTTATAATGAATTTATAATCAAAATGAGAGAATATTGTATATTGATTATTCATCTGAACTTTAATTAAATTTATTACGAACATCGTTTTGATTATTATCCTCTCACATATAACACTTGTATACAATATTTAAAGTTACATAAATAATCATGGAATTTTTAATGATATTCATAAAATATTTAATAATTTATGTGTTGATTTCTGAAACGATTTCATATGCGAAAGCGTATTTTTAGTGGAGAAACTCTATATATTATATTAATTTATTTACCCAACGAACGATTAAGTCGATAACTTGAGTTCTTTGACCACAAACATTCATTGCTCTAATATTGTTTAGACCACCTAAATCTTCCTTATTAATTCCTTGAATCTACGAAGACTGTGTGTGGGCACACCTGAAACAAAACGGGATTAGCAAATAAACACTCAAGTTTTCTACGAACTCCAACACAAGCACGACGTGAAATTTGGGAGAAAATTTTTTCCCTTCTACACACTCTATATTCGGCCACTATATGCTTAGGAAAGCAAAAATTGTGTTATCTAATTTTTTACAATCTCCTATTTATAGAGTAGTAGTCAAACTCTCAGAAGAAGTCCAACATTTATCTCCAATATAAAGCTTGATAATTATCTCTCACTTCTAATTTGATTTTGAAACAAAATTCACTCTCCCTTATTCACATGTTGGCCTGCCACCACAGGAAGATTCCTACCACAACAGGGAGATTCCTCCTTGTGGTAGGCACAATTGCAACTAGAGAATAGGGCAAAATTCTACATTTATCCTACAGTCCAAGTTTGACTCAAATTTAAATTCTAATTTAAGTCAAACTTAAATCAATTTAAATTTCAAATTAAACAACTTATCAAATAAGTCAATTGGATAACTTAGAAAGCAGACAACTAAATTCTAGAGAGATTCACACTGTGCTGGGTGTTCACACTATGTGAACACCTTCACATGTGTGCTCCAAAATTTAAATTTAAATTTAAATTTAAATTTAAGTAATCACATTATTTAATTAATAATCAATTCTCAATTAATTATTCTTAGACGTTTTATTTTAGAATTCTAAAATTTTAAAATTCCTATTTTACCCTTAGTGTCTTGTAGGATTACAAGGATGACGCATGGACTCATGCACCTATAATACTAAGCTCTAATAAGATTAATAATTCATTAAACACTTTAATTAATTAATTAATTCTATTAATTTTAAAAGTTATTCTACTATAAACTTAGAATTGTACTTTTGTAATTATAGGCATAAATTACTTGTAAACTATAAAGTGTCCATTTGATATAGTCATTACATATAGATCAATCATCCATAAATAATTCATAATTTGAGCTAGATGAAATCCGTTAACTTATCTAATTACATATTTGTCCTTGAGTACCATTGATTTTCTAATGGACAATGATTCATAAAAAAATTTCATGAATCAGAGCTTTTAATGGTCTAAGTACCGAATCAATCATCAAGAGAATTATTTATATAATAACATTTTCAGCTACTCACTTTATCATGTCTCTAAAATACAAGGAATATGATTCAGGATCTCGAAATCTGTGCTGAGTAAATAAAAAATACAAATTCATAAATAGGAGTCTGCTAATAACTCACGATTAAGATAATTCTATATATGACAATCGGTAGACTCAATTAGAATTTCTATATTTAACGAAAATTATCGAAAATTCATATTGCGTTTGTGTCTATATTTCACATAATCTAATTACGGGTAATACACTCATTTATTCTCTCTCCATATTAACAGTGCGGATAACACCATTCCATTCTAAATGTGAATGATATGTATTAGTAATATTTTAATTGAAGATTCTGAACTTTAATTAAATTAATTGCAGACAACATTTTTATTATTATCCTTAAATAATATCCTCTCGTATATAACATTTATATACAATATTTAAAGCCACATAAATAATCATGAAATTTTCAGTGATATTCATAAAATATTCAATAATATATGGATATAAAATAATGCATAAATTCTTTTATTAAATTAATAATAAATATCCTATTACATCTCATGATTCTAGAATATCATTCTCAATAATTACAAATTATAACCAATTAGTATCCCCATAAAATTATCATTAAATGATGAAAGTTAGAAGGCAAATTAGGAATTAAAGGTCCACTAAATTTGCTTACTTCATCTATTCTCTCCTTAAAAGAGAGCGCTACCCTCCATTTAAAAAAAAAAAAAAAAACTTTTTAGCATTTCCTCTTCCCTTATTTTTTCTATTACATTTTTAATCTTTAATTTTTATATATTTCTAAATATATCTTCACTAAATACTTTTCTTACAATTATTTGAAATATTATTTTTTTTCTAATCACCGTGCTAAATTAATTTATTCTCAACTGTGTCCCTGTATAAATATCTTTTGTCTGTGATCCTCATAAATTTCAGTTTTAGTTGCGAAACATTTCGCACAAATTTTTTCTTAAGTTTTTTTTTCTTTGATCCTTGTCTTTGCTTCAAATATTTTTTTTTTCCATTTTTTCTTTATTTCTTTAATCCTTTCCTTTTCCTTCCCCTTTTTCCGAGTGATTTGTATAAGCGTTATGTTCGCGCGTGTTTTTGACTTGTACGTTAAAATCAAATTATACAATTTACAATAAAGCTTTCGCTTTTGCTCCCTATACCCACCCTTATACCTGCATATTCGGGGTCGGAGTCGAGATCAGGGAGGCTTTCCATATACTTTATCCATTTACCTATTAATAAAAGAAAATGTAGTGATATTATTACTACTTAAATAAATTGTATCAAATTAAATATAAAATTCAACATGGCATTAATATCTCATTAAAACAAATCAAGATTGCAAAAAAATCCAAAACCAAACGAAATCAAATTTTAAAAATTCAATCAAAGACATAAATAATAAGTTAAAGTCTTGGAAATAAAACATTAAAAATGATAAGAATGTTATTATTCTAATTTATTTATCTCTTAAAGGTCTGAAGAGTACATGCTTATATCGTATAAGTTAAGTTTAGGGTAAACAAAGTTACTATTTATAATATATAACATGATTTAGGAATCATTAGAGTTTTTTAAGATGGTAAAATAGTAAAATATTTTTAAAATATTTTGATCCCATATTTTTTAAGTACTATTATAATATATATGATTAATTACAAAAATTTTCCTTGAACTATACCTCTTGTAACACTTTATTCTTAATTTTTGAAACGTAACATCTATTCATTCTGAACAATGAAATGTTAACAAAAAAGTCTCATCCGCTAGGTTTTTTAACAGAAAGTGACATTTAATTTTTTATTTTGGGATATTTTAATTTATGGTTTAAAATTTAGTTTGAATTTAAAACTAATTTAAATTTAAACTTTTAATTATGATATATTCATTATTGATTGTATGTAAGTTAAAAATTTTATGAAGCCTTTTTAGCTGAATAAAAATTTTTATGAAGTTTTTTTAATATTTAAGTTAGTTTAAATACAAATTAAGTTTTAAACCATATAATTTTTAAAATACCCTTAAAATAGCAAATTAAAAGTTAATTTCAGAAAAAAAACCTAACCCGGGGAGGAGGGTTTGTTACATTTAATTGTTAAAAAAAGAATAGATGTTACGTTTTAAAGATCAGAAGACAAAGTGTTATAATGAATATAATACCGAGAGAATTTTTATAATTAATTATAAAATATAACATGCACGTGCTTTAAAAATATTTTTAAAAATATAAAATATATATATTAGGTCACATTCAATTCAAAGATTTAAGTTTTCAAGGGATAATATAAATCCTCTTTTTCTTAGTCCACCTCATTTCAAAGGATAATATAAACCCTCTATCCGCCTATTTTTTATTTAAATTACGTTCTGAATTGAAATTTAAGTTTTCTTAAGTTAAAATATAATTTTATGTGAAAATTTTTAAATATAATAAAAAATTAAATATAATTTTTTATAAAAGATTTTAATTATAATAAAATTAAAATTAAAAATTTAAATTGATAAAATAAATAACTTACCCGTCTTATTCAGAGTGGATACCTGCGGTACGGTACCACATTCACACGTACATTTGCTAATTTACAGCACAGCTGTTTGTCATATTCTCGGCGACGGCTGTTTTTTTTTTTTGGATTCAACTGAAAACCAAGCCCCTTTTATTCCTTCTTTCCTTCCTTATCTTTTTGTTTTGTTTTTGCCAATTCTCCTTTTGGGAGTCCTTTCTTTCCTTTTGAACAAACCAATTAACACGAACGAAGGAAAAGGACCTAGAAAATCCAAACTCAAATCCATTAACAGATTTTTTTTTTTTTTATTAGACAATAGTTTATATATTTGGAAAACATAAGGGTGGATTTAATTTAAATATTTGTGTCATAATTTGAATCATAATTTATAATTTTTTATAATATTTTTTTTCATACAAAATACACAAGAATAATTCTGAATAATAATTTTAAATCTATTAACAAAAACACGTACAAAACGATTCTCTGTCTTCTGATGTAAACCGTCCAATGCCGTTAATGCCCCGCACAGAGAGGGAAACCAGAAAAAAAAAAAAAACACGTTTCGTAATTAGGGTTTCCCATTTTCTGTCTTTTTCTCAAAATCAGACCCACGTCAGTGAATCCGTCTATCTTCGCTTTGCAATCGTGACTTTTTCTTGCATATTTTCCTCGGAATTTGGTACGGACACCTACGACAACGAGTTTCGAGGGTTTTTGTTTTATCTCGAAACTTCGGCTTGGGTTCGTGATTGGGAACTCAGAATCTGGTCCTTAATTTGGCGTTTTGTTCGTTTCGAGGACAGATTCAGTTTAATTTTCTCTCAGAATTTCATTTCTTAAGTAATTTCCAATTTTGTTGATTACGAGCTCTGGCGTTTTCTTGCAGTGGGGCGGTTTAAGGAGACCGCCGTGTATTGATATTTTCGCTTCTAAGGTCAGTTTTTCTCTCTCAACTTTTTTTTTCCTCCCTTTTTTTAAGTAGAATTTAAGTGTGTATTTGGTTGTGTGTGTTTTCTTGGTTGTTGTTATTTGTTGTAACCTTAATCCTTGGGAACTGTAGCTTTTAAACTCGTTCATTTTACTGTTCTGAATTTTCAATTTCAGTTACTGTTCTGAATTTTCAATTTCAATTTAAAAATTTTCATAAAAAATTATTTTTAATTTTTTCAGTTATAATTAAAAGATTATATCTCAACTTAAATTAAAAATTCGAATCAACGAACTGAATTGGACCTCACTATCTGGATAGTGCAAGAATTTGTGCTGACAAAGTTTGGTTTGGTGTTGAAGTTGGCAGATGACGCACTATTTATAGGAAATGAAAGGTGGACTTGTGAAAAATGGTGAGGGTATTGGTATGGACGTGCGGAGAGAGAAGAGAGATAGAGGATTCGTTTTGAACGTCCGTCCAATTTGGCAACTCTAGCGGAGCGACAATCCTATCCGATATCGGATTTTTACCCTGAAAATGGAACACCCCTTTTCATCGAAAGAGAAGGAGAAGGAGAGTGAGTATTGGCCACTTTCAAGAGCTCAGGTGGAGAATTTCCCGTCGTTTGATGGTGGCGCGAGGAGTGTGGTACAGGAGGATGTGTTCACTAACTTCTCCGACCTCCTGAATTTTGATTCTTATGCTGGGTGGTGCAACAGTCCTGCAGTAACGGATCAGGCGTCGGCCACTTACGGGTTGTCTTCGCTTCCATCAGTGGCGTATGCGGCGTTGGATGCCCCAAACTTTATTGAGCAGAGTGTTGGGGCACTTCCTGGGACTGAAGTTGGTGGGAACTTAGGGAGGAGTTCCTTCAATTTTGGTGACAAGATTGTGTTTCAGCCTGCAGATACTCAGTTCGAGGTGTCAGCGCATTCTAATGCTGCTAACGACTCGGTTGCTAAACAAACTAATGCTTCCGTTCAAGGAAACAGTCAGATTGACGCAGTGAATACCTATAGACCAACGAGATGCTCGCTTGATGAGAAGATGCTGAGAGCGCTATCAGTTGTCAAAGAGTCTTCTGGCGGAGGCATTTTGGCGCAAGTTTGGGTTCCCGTGAAGCGTGGTGACCAGTTGTTCTTAAGCACTTCTGAGCAGCCTTATTTACTTGATCATATGCTTGCAGGCTACCGTGAAGTGTCGAGGATGTATACATTCGGTGCAGAAGGGAATTCAGGACGTGTTCTTGGGCTTCCTGGACGTGTTTTTGTCTCCAAAGTTCCAGAGTGGACTTCAAATGTTTGTTATTATCAGAAAAATGAGTATTTACGGTCGGAGCATGCATTTAGTCATCAGGTCCGTGGTTCTATGGCCCTACCAGTGTTTGAACCAGATCCTACAATGCCATGCTGTGCTGTGTTGGAACTCGTCACTACAAAAGAGAAGTCCAATTTTGATAAGGAGATGGAAATTGTTTGTAATGCACTCCAGGTTGCTTTTCACTCTCCATATGTACATGGCATACACTCTTTTTTTTTTTTTTTTTTTTTCATGGCATAAACTCTTTTTAATTTTTTTTTTCTTTTTTTCTTTTCTGTCCAAACTTGTGTCTTATAATGGTAACTGAACGTGGGACGTGGCACCATTGTTTTTATGAATTGCAGTAACCTTTTCCTTTACCTAGTTTCTTGTATGTCTGCAAAATCATGAGAAGAAAGGCAAATATCTGAGGTGTTTTCTAGAAGAACCTCGCTAATACACTGATTATGATTGTCTTTCATTGTTCACCTATTAGAATTTGGTTTTCTTTTAATTATGTTCTCAGGATGGCAAGTTGAAATATGTTTTGGTTGAAATATTTGTTCTGGGATGTTTTTGATGCTTGAAATGATTCCATGCATTTTATCTCAAGCATCTTACATGAACTACATGATTTCAGGCTGTGAATCTAAGGACAAATGCACATCCACGCCTTGTTCCCCAGGTATCTTTTAGAATCACAACAATTTTACTTCTCCCCTTACCTTAACCAAATACAAGAAAGAGAGAGAGAGAGAGAGAGAGAGAGAGAGAGAGAGAGAGAGAGTTGTATGAAAAAAAACCTTCTCTTCAGATGATCTTCACTTCTTACAAGGTCATTTCTTATTTGCAGTGCCTCTCAAATGACCAAAAAGATGCATTAGCTGAGATAATTGATGTCTTGCGAGCTGTGTGTCATGCACATAGATTGCCACTGGCTCTGACATGGATTCCTTGTTGTTACACTGAAGGAGCTGATGGTGAATATGTAAGGGTACGTGTCAGAGAGGGTAAATTGAGTGCAAATGAGAAATGCATACTATGCATTGAGGAAACAGCTTGTTATGTTAATGACAGAGTGATGCAAGGTTTTGCACATTCTTGTATGGAACATCATCTTGAGGAGGGACAAGGTTTAGCTGGAAAAGCACTTCAATCAAATCTTCCCTTTTTCCTTCCTGATGTTAAAACGTATGACATAAATGAGTTTCCACTTGTTCATCATGCACGGAAATTTGGTTTAAATGCTGCTGTTGCGATCAGGCTAAGGAGCACCTACACAGGAGATTGTGACTACATACTGGAATTCTTCCTCCCTGTCAATATGAAGGGGGCTTCAGAACAGCAACTTTTGTTGAACAACCTTTCAGGTACAATGCAAAGAATCTGTAAAAATTTGAGGACAGTTTCAGATACGGAAATAGTTGGGGCTGGTTCTAATGATGCATTTCAGAAGGATGTAGTCTCAAACCTCCCTTCCCTGTCCAGGGAAAGTTCCCAAATGGTGCTATCAGATAGTGACTTGAATTCAGTTGATGAGCTGCCCTCGAAGGTATCTAAACGGAGAAACAAGGGATTTGAAGGAGATGGTGTTCGGGAACAGGTATTATTCTACACAACATTCTTCATTCGTTTTGCACTAATAAAAGATTCTGCGGTTAATGAGGCATGCTCTTTCTAATTGTTGGTGCATGATATATATACTAGTTTCAGTTGCATTTACTCTGCAGTTCCTATAAAAACCCAATCATAGCATGCATGTGTACTTGTTTTTTTGTAATTAAAATATTACAGGTCTGTTGTCTTGTCGTTGGTTAGTAAGTTGCTGTTGTTCGAACTAGAAGAGTATTTTGGATGCTTTTCTCTTTTTAGGAAGTTGATTTTATAGTAGTTTACCGTATTTCTTTGCGATTATTTTTTCAGTTGACAATATGATAGGAACCTGATCTAAACAAGAAGAATTTAACTGCAAGAGGTCTATTATTCATGAAAATCACTGATACAAGCAATTAGGAAGCCCTAACTGCGATAGTATTCAAGAGACCATCCAACTCTCCCATCTTGGTTGCCCAAGCCCCAACCAACTAAATCAAGCATACCCCTACTAGCAACCAACCCCCTCCCTTTTATACTAGTAACGTCCTCTAACCACGACTAACAATCTATTAATGCCCTCCCCCAGCTAACAGATCCTAACACAATATCACTGTTTTCTTTCTCTATGCACGTGTATATTTACATCTGACGTATATACATGCATTGTCCACATTCCTCTGTGTACATGCATGTGTGTGCAAGAGCGTATGACAGAGTTGTTTTATTGTAGTATAAATGCGTTCTTGTTTCCTGAGGCTTCCAGAGCACAAACCTGCTCTATCAAAAGATTCTTCAACTACCTCACCGCATTTTCATCATAGTACCCTACATCTACCGTTAATTCAGGTCTCTGAGATATTGTTATTTATGACAAACATAACGCTGATCGTACCTGCTGCTAATGATCAAAACCAAACTCAACTACCAGTAGGGATCATTTATGTTTTGGTGTGGCTTCATACAAATTTTTGGAACAATAGCTTTTAACTTTCTTTACACTGTAGGGTATGAGCGGATCTAGAAGGCAGACAGAGAAAAAGCGAAGTACATCAGAGAAAAATGTGAGCTTGAGCGTTCTTCAGCAATATTTTTCTGGCAGTCTTAAGGATGCTGCAAAAAGCATTGGAGGTAAGGACTCCTTGCCATATATGATCCATTACTAACGAAGAAAAGTTTGTGCAATGTGTATGGTTGTAATGCTTGATTTTAAGCCTCACATGATATAGCGGATGTAAATTTTATAGAAAACTTAATTCATTTGTGATCGGGCTGAAGAAATTTTCTTTGGTGTAAACTTCCCTTTTGAAGGATTTTGTCTCTTCCATTATTTATCTATTGTTTTAGAAGAGCCTTGTTGGATGTAGTACTTGCTTGCTGCTGTAGCATTACCTTTAAGAAGTAGAAAAGGGTGGGTAGGATTCTGGGCAAGAAAGGTAATGATGATACGAAAATTAAAACTGGGAAGCAGTGATACCAATTCAGGTTATAGCTATAATTGCTGTATTAATGCGTAACTCCTGAAAATTTGAGGTAATTCTGATGGAGTGGAAATTTTTTGAGTGAGACTAAATTGGACTTCCCTAGGTTCTTTCAAAATAACACTTTCTTTATCAACGCTGTCAACGCAGATCCCTTAACATATGAAAAAGATGCATACATTTGACTGTTTTAGCTTTTGAAATATCCAACTTGACTTTGAATTCTCCGTTTTAGTATCCTTTCATATATGGATTATTGAAGTTGATCTTTTAATTTTTCAATAACTAAAGTAAATTGTCAGGGTTCATAGTATAACTAATTTTCACTAAGGGGTACCATTGTGACACACATAAAGGGGTGTCAATGCATTTTTTCTACATATCTTTTAGAAGCAGGGGTTAGGATAAATAGGCTCTTATATCATATCAGCCGCTTCCTATATTTTTGTTACATGTTGAACTACGTTGAATATTATATTTGATTGACATCCCTGTATGTATAGTTGCAATAAACAGTTCTATATGTTTTCTAGAATTATTTTCACGTTTTGAAATATGTGTTAGTAATATATCTATTTGTGTCTCCCTATTAAGTACTTTGTGAACTTTGTGTATGACACATGTTCAAACTTCAATATCGGGGAATATTTGTGAAAAATTCCTGTATATGATATGGACTGACATGCTAATCGGATATCATTAAAGAATTGTTCATCCCTTAAAAGGTTAAACCTAAGAGATGTTCTATAACAATTTGACGGGCTGATAGGATTAAGGAGCTTTAGCAATGAAATTTAAGAAAACCCTAGAACCAAGGTTTTTATAAATAATCTAATGGTGCATTTAATTGTTGAATTGGATCAATTCAATTGTATTGAAGTTATTCTAAAATGAACGTTTGATTTGTGTTGTTCGGCAGTTTGCCCCACTACGCTAAAAAGAATCTGCAGACAACATGGGATCTCAAGATGGCCATCTCGTAAGATAAATAAGGTAAACCGTTCGCTAAAAAAAATACAAACCGTACTCGATTCTGTTCAGGGGGTTGAGGGAGGTTTGAAGTTTGATCCCACTACTGGGGGGCTTGTGGCAGCAGGCTCCATAGCCCAAGAATTTGATACGCGGAAGGGTCTTTTCTTCACAGAGAAGACACAATCTCTGCAGAGCTCAGATCCAATTTCAGCAATTAAGTCGGAAGAGGATGATTGTACAGGTGGGGCTATGGTCAATCCAAATTCTGTTGAGATCAGGATGTCCAATATTGACACTCAGACTAATTCTGCTCAAGAATCCAAGGTGATTGCAGTAGATGCTGGATCAGAACGTGCTAGCTATGACACCATGTCTGGACCTTTCCTGGAAAAGGCTTCCTTTGGTTTTTATCATGCAAAAGAAGTTAGGACATTGAATCAGAGGAAGATTAATTCAAAATTTGAGAATTCTGACTGCCACCACGTGTTTCGGGATTCAGTCTGCTTGGATGCTGGTGATGAGATGGATACAGTAGGTGATGGAGCTAACGAGCTTATTGAACATAACCAGCCTGCTTCTTCAAGTATGACAGACTCGTCAAATGGCTCTGGTTCAATGCTCCATGGCAGTTCTTCAAGCTCTCAAAGCTTTGAGAATCCTAAGCATCCAAAAGGCAAGACGAGCTGTGTTGACAGCAGTTCTAAAATTGTGGTGAAAGCTACCTACAAAGAAGATACTGTCCGGTTCAAATTTGATGCTTCTGCAGGTTGTTTACAACTCTATGAGGAAGTTGCAAAGAGGTTCAAGTTGCAAACCGGAACGTTCCAGCTCAAGTATTTAGACGATGAAGAGGAATGGGTGATGCTAGTGAGCGACATGGACTTGCAAGAATGTCTTGAGATATTAGATGATGTTGGAACCAGAAGTGTGAAGTTCCAAGTTCGCGATATGCCGTGTGCCGTGGGCAGTTCTGGCAGTAGCAATTGTTTCTTGGCAGGAGGCTCATAACAGTTGGGAGGATACTGGATCTTCTCCTTTTTACCATGGGACTTGTCGTGGCGCTACTTCATCGGAGGTGAATGCCCTGCAGAGGCAAAAAGAGGAGCATTCATATCTCGCCGTCTAGATCTTTTCCCGCGTCGTAATTCATAATCAAACTGATCATGAAACGGCACGTCAAACTGTTCTTCGGGTCAAATTGGAGCACAATTACGATTCCAGAATAGAGCTATGCATGGTATGCCCTTTGCTACACTTCTGAGTGGTTAGAATTGTAACGATCTATATGAAACTCCGTTCATGTCGAGCATAAAGGTCCTTGATGCTATAAGCAGCTAAGTTAGTATGTAGTCATAATAAAAACTTGGGAAAGAATAGGGGCATGCTGAAATACGCTGTCATAGTCTAGTCTCTGTGTGTGTGTATATATATATATATATGTATAGAATCACTCTTAAGTCCGGCAGGGGTTTTTTTTACCATTTCCCATCAGGCAATATGTTTTGACCGTTCGATTGGAAAGGAAGGGTTACGATCAATCAATCGAACGAAGGCATCATAATGTAATTTACCTATTATCTTAGACGCAACAGAGCAGCAAAATGGAAAAAAAAAAAAAAAATGTTTGGTATGTTTTTTGAATGGGTATGTAATGTTTTTCTCCGTGTAACTTGGTTAATAGCCATATGTAACATATAGATAATATGTGTGTACTGATAGGCCAAGACTTGAAATGAATTAAAATTAATAGGCCAATAGTTTACATAAGTTAATAAATATGTCAAATTATTATTTTTGTCCATAACTTGTCTAGTTATGAACCATAACTTGACAAGTTATTGTCTATAAATTACGATTTTTGTCTATAACTTGTCTGGCTATGAATCATAACTTGACAAGTTTGTCCATAACTTATCTAGTTATGAACCATAACTTGACAAGTTATGACCTATTAATTTCTATAACTAAAAGTTGGCCTATATACTTTCTTAAATTTTTCATATTGGCCTATTTTTTACTATTTCCATAGTTAAATTGATATTTATTGGTAATACATAGTCATATGACGAATGATTGAAGAAGATTGCTTCGATTAACTGAAAGCCTTGTCTCGTTGAGTAACAGCTGAGCAAGCAATTAATTTCCTATATAAATACATGTGTAACCCTTACAAATATATATTATGAGTGCGTTTGGAACTCGTTTTAAAATGATTTTACTTGTATGAAAATAAAAATGAAAACGTTTTCAATCTTACACAGAAATCATTTTTGAAAATGTATTTAGTAGTTTTAAAGAGATTGTTTTCAGTGTAAAAAAAATCCATTAATGTCTCTTTTTCTCTTCCTCTGCTCGAGAGAGGAGAAAACAAAAAAAGTCATTTTTTATTTCTCTCTCATTTTACACTAAATTAAAAAATTATTTTCATTTTTGTTTTTTGTCTTTATTGCGCCAAACGCCGTTTTAAATAATTTAGGGCTCGTTCATTTCACTGATTCGAGTTTTTTCTACAGCTAAAAGCTCTCATAAAATGTCACATTTAACTTTTTGTTGTTGTTGTTAAAAGCTCTAAAAAAATATCAAATCTCAGTTCGAATTGAAAACTCGAATCTGTGAAGCGAATGAGACCTTAGTATCCTTAAAATTACAAGTTGTTGAAGGAAGATATTTATTGAGCATTAACATTGATAATGATATTTTGCCTATCAATTTTATAAATCACGATTTTTGTCCATAACTTGTCTGGCTATGAACCATAACTTGACAAGTTTGTCCATAATTTATCTGGTTATGAACCATAACTTGACAAGTTATGGTCTATTAATTTCTATAACTAAAAGTTGGCCTATATACTTCCTTAAGCTTTTCATATTGGCATATTTTTTACTATTTCCGTAGTTAAATTGATATTTATTGGTAATACATAGTCATATGACGAATCATTGAAGAAGTTTGCTTCGCGATTAACTGAAAGCCCTGTCTCGTTGAATAACAGCTGAGCAAGCAATTAATTTCATATATAAATACACATGTGTAACCCTTACAAACATATTACGAGTGCGTTTGGAACTCGTTTTAAAATGATTTTGCTTTTTGTATAAAAATGAAAATGAAAACATTTTTAATCTCAGACAGAAATCATTTTTAAAAATACATTTAGTAGTTTTAAAGAGATTGTTTTCAGTGTAAAAAAATTCATTAATGTCTCTCTTTCTCTTTCTCTGCTCGAGAGAGGAGAAAACGAAAACAAAAAATGAAAAACGACTAAAAGTCGTTTTTCATTTCTCTCTCATTTTACACTAAATTAAAAAATTATTTTCATTTTGTTTTTTGTCTTTATTGCGCCAAACGCCGTTTTAAATACGTTTTCATTTTTTCTTTCTTCAAAAACGTGAAAAAAAAAAACGGAATCAATTCCAAACACGGCCATTATGTAACTTGTAGGCAATATATCTATATATTGTTATGTTATTGTGTTTACTAAAAATTTGAAAATATTTAACAATGTTTAACACAACTTCTCTATGTTAGAATGCTCGTGCATACAAAGTCACAGTTTCTTTTAAGAGTTCAATTTTCTAATTTCTTAATTGAAAATAGTAACATAACGTGTTAGAACGTTGAATTTGTTGGGTAGGGAAAATATATTGAGTCAGGATATTAGTAATTTAGGGCTCGTTCATTTCACCGATTCGAGTTTTTTCTACAGCTAAAAATCCTCATAAAATGTCACATCTAACTTTTTTTTGTTGTAGTTAAAATCTCTAAAAAAATTTCACATCTCAGTTCGAATTGAAAACTCGAATCTGTGAAGTGAATGAGGCCTTAAGCCTCGTTTACTTCGCGGATTTGAGTTTTCAATTCGAGCTGAGATGTGACATTTAAAGAAAGCTTTTCACTGTAGCAGAAAAAGTTAGATGTGACATTTTTTGAGAATTTTTTACTGTAAAAACTTAAAACTGAAAACTAAATCGGTAAACGAAGCCTAGTATCCTTAAAATTACAAGTTATTGAAGGAAGATATTTATTGAGCGTTAACATTGATAATATAATGTTGCCTATTTATTTTGTATTTCAATTTCGGTCTGCGTGAATTTAGGAGGTTGATGAGTGTTGAACAACTAGTTGATGAATGGCCTCAAAACTAAATCTATGATGTTTTGTAATTACAAGTATGAATGTGGACGTTTAGTTGATAGATTCAAAATCATGATTCAGAATTATTCTCGATTTATGTGTATTTTTTGTGAGAGAAAATATTATAGCGAACCACGAACCATGATATGATTTATGGCATGAATCTAGCAACCAAACAATATTTCTTATATGAGCCGTTAATTTGGACAAGTTGAAATCATATTATTAAAATATGTACAGTGTATGCAAAAGTAAATGACTTACTACAAGTGTCCTAATATAATGAATTAAGGCATCGTCACCAATTTTACAATATTTGAACATAATATTTGATTTAGACATTAGTACTGTTTTTAGAATAATATAATTGGTAAATCAACAATTTTATAGGAGGATTCTTTTTTCTTAGGTGAATGGAAAATTATATGTAGCAGTAATTAGGAACATGATCTTCAATAATCATTTTACTCTGTTCGAACTTTTAATTGACCTTGTGAAAAAAAAGGGTCCTTTGTTTTTAATATCCTCTAATACGGTTTTAAAGTTTAATATATAAAGGAAAAATAAAGAAGCTAGTAGGGTTTGGATTTATTAACTACTCAACCCCTAAAATGCTCGAAAATGGTATATTATTTTTGTTATTATTTTCATCCTCGTTATTTCAAACACTTTAGGTTTTTTCTTACACTTACAACACTTTGTCATATCAATATTATGCCTTCGTATTAGTTATGTTATTAATATAGTTAGCGTCCCCGACATTCTCACATACATTTTCACAAATTAATCTTTGTATTATATCTTTATACTTTCTTTATTGCTCGCTATTAGATAAGTTCCTTAACGTTTTACATATACATCACACTTCGTCTATACATCATACAATCAAATTAGCTGCGAAACATAGAAAATGAATTACTTTCAGATGATAGGATTCGACATATTGTTGGAAATAAATAGAGTATTTATTTAATCAATTTATGTGCATCAATATGATAAAGCATAAAATTCTGCATAAGCAAATATGATGCATGACATACATAAAAAATACATAAAATCATGTTTTTAATTAAGTGCCAACGATAATCTAATTTACCACAAATAATGTGCCTTCATAGGGTAGGTCACATTAACCGCTAATTGAACCGAGATCTTCTTAATTAATAAATATATTCAAAATATTCATGTTTTCATATTTATCAAGTACCGTTATTTTGGTCAAAATATAATTAATCAGTTTAATTATATTTTCATTAGTGTAAGCTGCCATTTCGGATTCCAAAGACATAAATCTAAAGTGTCGCCGTAGGATAGGTCAATTGAAAATACATCCCGAATCCTATCGCTTGGAAGTTAACTTTGATATTGATCTAGAATGGACACTCTCCGTAGGGAGAACAGAATCAGTGCAGCCGCGAAGTGCCTTCCAAATCTCATGGTGTTGCACTAACGGTGGAAACCCAGTATTGTCATACAATCCTTTTCCACTCAATATTTTATAAATATGTATTTTTACTTTGAAACACATCTCATAGTTTTCAAATTCTAATAGATAAACAATTTATTTATCGAACATGTGAAATTATAAAATTTAACTCTTAAATTCAATTTCATATATTATATTATTTTGCAAATCAAAATTGCAACTAAAATTAATTTAATCATATTAAATTAATTTCGTGCATAACTTTTTATTTTATTTTTGAAAGAACTCTTTTAACAAAATTAAATAAATAATAAATGCGCGTGTATGTGTGACAAGCTATTAAACATATGAGTAGACACATTAGATCTATATGACATATTATATGCATGGACATGTAATATACAATCATCAAATAAATATAAGTTTAAAATATGCAATCGCCTATTAAGAAAAATTTAACCTTTTCCCATGGAAAAAATATATTATAATCATATTAAACGAATAATTATTATAACCATAGTCGAATAAATAAAAATTATAATAATTATTTTCTTTTGTTACATTAATGGGTCTTTGATTTTAATTCTTCATTCTTCGAGACTTCAAATTCCTTTGTCTTCGGGTTGGGCTACATCTTCTTTTAGGTCAGGAACTCTTTCGGATCCCAAAATGCGTGGAACAAGGGTTTCGAAAACCCTCGGGCCCTATTGGGCCAATTTATGCACTTTGCAATGCGCTTGCCTGTGTGCAACCTACGAGGGTTGTGCGGGGGTGCGCTGGAGCGTCACAACGCCCGTGAAGGGCGTGTAGGTGCTCGGGCGTGCAATGGGGCCATGTACTGGGTGTACTTGGGGCCGCGCGATGGGCGATGCAGCCAGGGCAGATACAAATTAGATATCACACATTTAATAAAATATTTGATTATTGCGTAATTGAAGAATAAATTAATATAGTATATAAACCTAGCTTTGATACCAATTGTTGGTTTTTGAAATAATTTCTAGTGCTGAAGCGTGTATTTAGCGGATCGTGTATAACAAAAATTTCATAAAACTTTTGAAACGCACTATAGAATATATTAATTTATACGTGAACAAATTAATTTAATAAATTTATTAATTTACCTAGCGAACGATTATGCCGATAACTTGAGATCTTTGATCAGTAACAATCATCGCTTCATGCT